ATAACAAAAAAAATATGTTAACACGGAACATAAAGTTTTTAATTTTATACTAAAATGAAAATTCTGAATTATATTGCATGTTTCAAATAATATATTTCTATTTTTTTTTCCAGAGCAAGCAATAAAAACTTTTTCGTTTTTCTAGAAAGTTTAGAAGAAACTCTGCGACACGAGAAAGCAAATCAGCGGGCTGAGGATTCTATCCAGCAATTGCTGCAGCTGTGCTAAAAAAACACAAAATGTATTCCCAGATTAAAAGGAGAACTATGGGGTCAGTGTTTTTCCCCATAGATCTCCTAAGGGTCACGGGAGGACGCAAACTAGCATCCTCCCGTCACCCTAAGCTCAGTATACCGCGAGCTACAGCTCTCTATATACTGAGAACGCCGCAGCCGGGACGGATCCCGACACTACTGTCGAGATCCGCCCAGCTGCGTGAGTGACAGCTGGCTCTGCCTATCTAGAGGCAGAGCCAGCATTTCCCGCCCCCTCCCCCGTCTGTTCTGCCAGTCAGCGCTGGCGGATGGGAGCGAGGAGGGGGGGGGATCCCTTCAGTGAGTGACAGTCACCTCTCTGCAGGGACATGATCGAGAAGTGAGCGAGCGACGCTCAGTCTCTGTACAGAGGAGCTTACACTCTAATGTCCCCCCACAGTCACATCAGTCTCTGTACAGAGGAGCTTACACTCTAATGTCCCCCCACAGTCACATCAGTCTCTGTACAGAGGAGCTTACACTCTTGGGGACATTAGAGTGTAAGCTCCTCTGTACAGAGACTGATGTGACTGTGGGGGGAGGGGACATTAGAATGTAAGCTCCTCTGTACAGAGACTGATGTGACTGGGTGGAGACAGCCCGCGCTGTCACAGGAGGCTGGGCTCTCCTCCCACACCGCTCCTCAGCCTCCTGTGACGGCGTGTCAGAGAGGGGAGCGGGTACAAGCAGTCGGTGGTCAGTGATCGCTGAGTGTATTGTACATAATTGAGGACAGAGTATGGTTACTATATCCCCAGTTATGAATGAATGGGAAGTGATCTACATCACTTCCTGTCCATTCATGATTGTGGTTATAGCAAACACACTCTGTCCTCATGTTATGAATGATCAGGAACAATCAGAGGATTCCTCTTCATTGATAAGAGGGGACACAGAAAAAGAGATTGAGGACTTTGTATTCTCTGAGGACTTTGTGTCCTCAATCTCTTTTTCTATTTTAAAAGTGAAATATCAGGGATCTGTTTAGACCCTTAATATTTCCCCGAAGCCCCTAAAAGTAAAATAACAAAATAAAAGTATTTAATAAAAAATGAATAAAAATAAAAATATTAAAAAATTAAAACGTTTATAAAAAATAAAATCGAAAAAATTAAAATAAAAAACATTTTCGGTTTAGGCCTGACCATTTTTTTTTTACTATTATACACAGAAAATAAAATCAGAATTTGGATTATTATAAATACTGTAATTTCTATCAAATCAATCAAAACAAAAAACACAATACAAAATATTTACAAATATCAGAATTATTACTGAACATAAAAAAAAAAAGTGTCAAAGTTATGTATGTGAAGTAAAACTCTGTCTGGAAAGGTGTTGAGGGGGCTTAGAGGAAAGGAAAAATGTATAATTCAAAATTAACCTCCCTGGGGACTGTGCGGGGAGGGGGGGTCAGAGGATTTTGTATGTGATGCATGACCGGTGATGGGAGTTTACATTTCTCATGGGGGCCCAATTATCATTTTGCAATGGGATTCCGTTAACATTTCGCACAGGGGACCTGGTTTAAATTTCGCAACAAAGTTCGGCTTAAATGTTGCATGGGGGGCCAAGTTTACATTTTGCATGGGGGACCGGGTTTATATTTTGCATGGGGGGCCAAAGTTAC